TTTATGATGCTAAGTGGCATAATCATCTTCACAGTGGGATCCACAAATGTAAGACGTCTCTGCTGCTGTACAAATCATAACATTATCACTACATCATCTGTTGACATGCCCTTAAATACAATGTAACACTCAGTCTGGTTTTTGACAGGCATTTTAAGAAACAATGTGGGAAATAATCACATGCTTGGACCTTCACAAAATAAATGGAATTTACACGTTAAGGAAAATGTGCCAATCTATCACAGTGAATTGTTTATAGGTCCATAAGAAAAATTGCACATCTTGGTTTAGATATACCGTCATCTGTATGGCCCCGATATAATTGTACACAACACGACCAGGAAAATCAGATACAAAGACCAAACAAAAGAATCACCTTCTTGGTTTTCTGCACAATCCATATCCAAGGCTTTAATTATACTTCAATGACCAGTTCAAGATGCCTGTCCAGCAGACTAACCTTAGTGTGATGGGTGCTAAAGTGGAACAATGATAAAACACTGAATATGTTCATTTCCACAAATGCACACAGACTAACTAACTAACTGACTAACAAATGTTCATGTTAATTAATAATGTATTATTAAATAATGAATTTTTTTACAAAATTACTTGCAATGTTTTAACTGTTTTATTGATCCATCTGCAGATCCTTAAACTGGGCCAACCCACAGTTGTTTGGACAAATTTCTTTGGACAAGAGTCCTCTCCCCGCCCCACAGACCCCTTTGCCCAACTCCAACACTCTCCCTCCACCTGGACCCCTCCCTCCGACCTTTTACCTGCACTCGATCTTTTCATTCAGAACTGTCGACATGACATTAGTCGCCTCAATTTCACTGCCCCTCTCAACAAATCCAACCTATCTCCCTCCGAACTGACTGCACTCCGTGCACTCAGATCTAACCCTGACTTTGTCATCAAGCCTGCCGATAAGGGTGGTGCTGTTGTAGTTTGGCGTACTGACCTCTACCTTGCAGAGGCTGAGCGCCAGCTCTCAGATACCTCCTCCTACCTTCCCCTGAACCATGACCCCACCATGGCCATTGTATCCACCACGGTTACGGATCTCATTTCATCCAGTGATTTCCCCCCATCCGCTTCCAAACTAATAGTCCCCCAACCCCGCACAGCTCGTTTCTACCTCCTGCCAAAAATCCACAAACAGGACTGTTCAGGTAGACCCATTGTTTCAGCCTGCTCGTGCCCCACAGAACTCATCTCTTCCTACCTTGACTCAGTCTTCTCCCCCCAGTCCAATCCCTACCCACATACATCCATGATTCATCTGATGCCTTACGCCGGTTTCAAAGTTTCCAGTTTACCGGCTCCAGCCACCTCCTCTTTACCATGGATGTGCAATCCCTTTACACATCCATTCCCCACCAGGAGGGTCTTAGGGGTCTCCGCTTCTTCCTGGAGCAAAGACCTGAACCATCCTCACCCACCACCACCCTCCTCCGCTTGGCTGAGCTTGTCCTCACCCTCAACAACTTCTCTTTCAACTCCTCTCATTTTCTTCAGTAAGAGGGGTTGCCATGGGTACCCGCATGCGCTCTAGTTATGCCTGTCTCTTCGTGGGGTACGTGGATCATTCTTTGTTCCAGTCCTATTCCGGCCCCCACCCACAACTCTTTCTCTGATACATCAATGATATCATCGGTGCTGCTTCCCTTTCTCGTCGAGAATTGGAAAACTTCATCAATTTCGCCTCCAATTTCCACCCTGCCCTCACTTTCACCTGGTCTATCTCTGACTCCTCCCTTCCCTTCCTCGACATTTCTGTTTCCATTTCTGAGGATAGACTGGCCACTAATATCCATTACAAACCCACCGACTCCCACAGCTACCTGGACTATACATCCTCACACCCCACTTCCTGTAAAGACTCCATCCCATTCTCTCAGTTCCTCCATCTCCGTCGCATATGTTCAGATGAGGCCAACTTCAACAAGGGAGCCTCTGAAATGTCCACATTCTTCCTCAACTGAGGATTCCCCAGCTCCGTTGTCGACAGGGTCAATTGGGTCTGACCCATCTCCCTCACCCCTTCTCTTCCCTCCCGCAACAACGATAGGGTTCCCCTCATCCTCACCTACCATCCCACCAGTATCCACATCCAGATGATCATCAGACGCCATTTCCGCCACCTCCAGCAAGATGCCACCACCAGACACATATTCCCCTCCCCTCCCTTGTCCGCCTTCCGCAGGGACCGTTCCCTCCGGGACACCCTGGTCCATGTTTCCTTCACCCCCAACACCTCCCCAGAGCCCTACGGCACCTTCCCTTGTAAGCGGCGAAGGTGCAACACCTGCGCATTTACCTCCTCCCTCCCCAGTATCCAAGGGCCCAAACATACCTTCCAAGTGAAGCAACACTTCACCTACACTTCCAAGAATCTAGTCTACTGCATTCACTGCTCACAATGTGGTCTCCTCTACGTTGGGGAAACGAAGCTTAGACTTGGCAACCGCTTCGCAGAACATCTATGTTCTGCTCGCAAAAAAAACCCTGAACTACCTGTTGCTTGCCACTTCAATGCACCACTTTGCTCCCTGGCCAACATCTCTGTCTCCGGCTTGCTACAGTGTTCCAGTGAAGCCCAGCGCAAGCTGGAAGAACAACACCCCATTTTCCACTTGGGGACCCTACAGCCCTCCGGACTCAATACTGAGTTCAATAATTTTAGGGCCTAAACTCTCCCATGTCCCAGCCCCCCACCCCACACACCAGGCCTTGTTACCACATAGCCTGCTACTACACACCCCCTGTTGTTAGTCACTAACAGTCCCCATTAACAACTATTCACCCTCCCAGCCTGATCGTTAGCAACTCCTTTGTCTGTCCAACTGTCTTTCTCTCTCTTTGGGCTCTATCCTATCGTTTACTCCCTACCCCACCCACCTCCCTATTTTCTGCATATAAACTGACATTTTCCCAGCCACCATCAGTTCTGAGGAAGGGTCACCGAACTCGAAACGTTAATTCTGTTTTCTCCTCCACAGATGCTGCCAGACCTGCTGAGCTTTTCCAGCAACTTTGTTTTTGTTCACAGTTGTGGGTGGATTGTGGTAACATCAGGGTAAACTTTTAAAAATGCTTTTATGGACCAGACCAAACTCCTTCAAAATATATTAAGATAGCCTAGTCCCTAACTTTTTCTTATTTTAAGGCATTGCATTCTAGAAGCAATTTGATTGGTCAAACTACTCGACTTTAAGCAAAAAACACATTTTTTTTCCTCTATGGTTAAAATACCAAGAAAATAAAAATAAAAGAAAGGAATTGGCTTAACTGTAACTCAATCAAAATGCTTAACAAAGTAACAATATTTATTAACTACCATTAACTAAATGTTCCAATATAGTAACATCCATAAACACACCCTTGGCAAAGGCAAATTCAGTAAAATAGATCGTCTCACATGCAATTCTAGCGGCAGAAAGAGAACCCCAGCTTTTAGAAAGAGGAATAAGGGCTTCCACATCCAGCTTCAAGATGCCAGCAACTGCTACTGAGGACTAAAACCAAAAAACAGACTAGTTCTCTGGGAACTTGACCCCACATATTCAGGCCGCTTCTATTGTTCCAACTTAAAAAGACCCCAAGGCCTCATAAGCTGTTTACTTCATTGAATTGGAGCAGACTGCTTGGTACCTCTGTCTTCAATATGTCTTCATAAAAAAAAGGACAAAATACACCTCGTAAGGTCATAGTATTGTCACAAATGTGAGATGGCCACTTGGATGGGGAGCCATTACAATTGGCTTAACCTGTGGACAAGTAAATTGAGCTTTATGAACTTAGACCACCATTATATCTCTCCCTTCTCTCATGGGGGAGAACAGGAGTAAAAATTGCACAAGTACTGGGTCATCTCTTACCTATTACAAACTCTTACAGGCTAAAGCATTGTATAAATTTATTTTTCACTCTTCAAGGTGAAATTCCTCAAAAAATGTCAGTATCTGTAATTCTTGCTCATTGATTGCAAATCTATCCTGTCACAATTGCAAAAGTATAGGAAATGTGTCAAGGATTGATGTGAGATAAAGATTTCAGCTTCATGCTGCTTGCTGTCATTGTTCCATGAATGGTAACGATTTATCAATAATTTTCATTTCTATTAATTCATTTGTGTAAACACTAAAAATTCTGTTCTGCACAGGATCTACATGGGGTGGGGTGGAAGGGGTGGTGTAGAATTCTGGTAGGCAGCTCTCTCTCCCCTTGATGCAAGATAAGTTGGCTGGCAGCTGATGTGCCTAATAGGTGTCTGTCCCTCAATGCTGTGCACAGGTTAAACAAACTGAGAGTGGGAGGAAATCCTATCCTTTGGAGCCACTGGCCACACAGACCTTTAATGGGTCCTGGAACCAGGTAAGTCCTCTGCTTTCAGAGTGGGGAGGGACAAGGCAGCATTGAGAGATAGTGTTGGAAAGGGACCTAAATTTTGAAGCCAGGCAAGGAAGAATACAGAGACAGGTAATATTTTAAGTGGGTCTGCCGATGCACATGATGGAACACCCCCTGAATGGTGCTATAACTATCCCAACAGTAAAACAACAGCATGTTCACTCTCATCCCAACCATATTATAGTATAATATTCCAAACGATTGGGTTGGTAAGAACTACAATTGAACATCAATTACTTATTTTTAAATGATAGGCAAGCTGCCAATTTTAGTATCTGTACAATAACTCTGCTTTCTCTCCACAGATGCTGCCAGCAATTTCTGTTTTTGTTTTTGATTTCCATCATTCACAGTTCTTGGGTTTCTTTTGCTGCCAACTTCAGTGTCTGCTCACTTATTAGACTATAGAACATACTTCAGTAATATCCCTCATATTTGACAATCTCCCCTGCCCACAAACATGCCTTGCAGGGCAGAAAATAATCAAATGTATTCCTATATAACTGTTCACAGAATTTCAACTCATTCGTGAAACAATTGATTTTTATTTGTGTTTGCTATTCTCTTCAGGTGTATCCATACTTAAAAGGAGAAAATATATATTTTTTAAGTTGGATCAAATGCCTATCAAAGTAAGTATATTTGGGAGTTTTGGAGATGGACGTCTTTAAATCTATTTTTACCTGGTTTCAAATTTTGTATGGGATCTGCAAATATCACCCTTAATTTAATTCACCAATTATTGAATTTACTTTATACAGTATTGTCAAGCGCGTTATTCACGGGGATAAAAGGTAAGTATCATTCATTTCTTTCTATCCATTCAATCTTTGTGAAATGTATGGATTAATGCAAAATAGTCTGCCACTGCTGCACTTTCTATCATTTTTATGAAACCCTTTGTAGCGGGATCTGCAGATATAGGGACTCACTAGCTCCTCCATGTCATTTAACCACTCACTGCAATACTGAAACAATGTATCGGCTTGAAGACAGCACATGAGGTTTATCATTAAAATTCACCATCTCTTTCTGGTCAGTGCTGAGTTAACCTGGCAGTAATAGAAACTGCACTACAATTATCCCAGCAGCCCCATGATATGGAGAGTTATACGTTGGTTTCGCAATTAATATTTAGAGTCATTTTACTGGAAACATGTAGACATGGAAAGAATTTCTTTTTGTCATTTAATCAGTGCTCCCTTTTACCCTACCACGTACCTTCCCATGGTTATTCCCACATCCTCTTTGCTGATTTTGTACTTGTTTAAAAACTTGTAATCTCAAAACTCCTCCACTTTTGATGAAACGTCATTAACCTGCAATATTAACTTTGTAAAAACCGAAAGAACTGCAGATCTCTTTCTCCATAGATGCTGACTGACTGGTTGAGTGCTTATCCAATTTTCTGATTCAAGGGCAGATTTCAGCTCGTGTGTGATGTCCTCACGGAAGAACAGAACTGAAGATTAACTAACTTCACTCATCACCAATGGTTATTTGGCTAAGTTGGCAGAGAACAAACATTATGGAGCTAGACTGCAACTCACCACCGTCTTCACATGAAATCAGACTCCTTAAATATCATTACCAATTGTAAATATATGCCATTACTTCTTTCATGCTAAATATATTCTTCATTGAACAGTAATTAAAATTGATGCCTTCAGGGAAATAGTGCAAGGGTATGAATAAATAAATACTAATATCATATTCAGTCACCTGGGATGCCTCAGCAAGTTCTTAACTCATCTGATTTGTGTGAACCTAGTACCTTCATATCATTAAATTAGCAAATCCTTTGGCCCAGTTCCTCTGTTGTGGCCACTGGTCATAAATGTTTTTAAATGAAACTACTTTAAAGAGTAACAGAAATGTAGTTGTAGAAATGGTCATTAAGGCTAATTTGTAGGTGATTCTTTTTGTAAAGGTTCATTAATACTAATTCTCCCTTCGATGTGAAAAATCCACAAAGAACCTTTTTTTTGATGGTCTGTCTAAACTAAACTACACATGATCTGGCTAGATTACTATGGATTGGTTGACAGAATGGGTGGTTAGAGGATGTAATGCAATTCCAGGATTGTCAGGGTCAATCGGCTGGAAGTAAAGATATGAAACCAATGACAATAACGGAACAGAAGTTGCCTTTAATAGTTAGAAACATAATACCTCCACTCACCAAAGAAAAAATTAGTGAGAACTTGACAGATTTGTATTCTTGGTTGGAAGGTGAATTATACTTCATGAAATGCAACATAACTAAATATTACTTTCATATGCCAAGTGCAGTCAATGAATACAGATGGTATCCCATTCAAGTTCTCAACATGAAGCCAATCACTTTCTACAGAGTTAGGCCAGTTGTGGAATTCAGCTTTTGTTAATGGTTTGGTTGATTTTCCATATAAAAGCATCAAGCTTTTAGTATAAAGAAGGACATTTTAACTTGGGGCCAACACTAATAGATTAGAAATTTGGCATGTGGTATTCTGCAGAATCATGAAAAGCATTTATCCTGCAAGACAGAAAGTGGAATCTTGTTGAAGACCTACTCCTTTCAGTCCATCACTGGTGAACACACGTTTAACTGCTGAGGCTGTAACAACTGGAATTCCTTTGTTAAAACCTCTACGGCTCTCCACCTTTATCACCCAATTTAAAACTCAGCGTTTTGATCAAGCAGTCAACTGTCCCTCTCAGAATCTGCTGATAAAGTGCAGTCTCACTTCTTGTCTGATTACACTCCTGTATAGCACCGTGGGATGCTTTCCTACTTTAAAGATGCTATTGAAATGCAAGTTGTTGGAGTATGTGTCCAACAGTACAGAATTAGGCAGTTCTTGATAATTGCATTTGAATGCTTCACATTTGGGGTGAGGCATGGGGAGAGTTGGTATTTTGGTTAATGTTAGAACAGCAGGGATAAAGGCACAACTTAAACAACCAAGACATCTAGCATTTTACACACCCTACTGGTGTCAGCAATGAGTTCCCAAACACATTGGTTCAGGGCAGACACACAAGTAAAAGAATGGCGTACATTTTAAGGTCCTCATGCTGACCCCAGGACTGTCAATTTTCAGTTCTCCTCTTCACAGGTATCATTGGTGCCTCAGAGCTTATGATCCTAATTGCTTATCAAGCTATAACCCACAGTTTGGAACCTAAGGGTTAGGAGGAATGTGGGGGTAAATTTCAGGTATGGAGTGGGTTGGGTTGCGGGGGAGGGGGAGCAGTGATCGGTGAGCTGCAGGAGTATTTGTTCATACATTTTCAATGAGGACATTCTCAAATTCCAAAATTTTGCTATTCAGCTTTTCTCTGATGAAGGGTGTTTTTTTTTTTCACAAATTGTTTTGTTATATATAAATGGATTTCCCAGGCTAAATTGCCCTGTAGTGTCCAGGGTTGTGCAGGCTACGTGGATTAGCCATGATAAATTTGGACTTACGGAGATTGGTTGTGTATGGGTGGGATGCTTTTTGACAGATCAATACAGACTCGATGGGCCAAATGGCTTCTTTCTGCACTGTAAGGATTCAATGGTATGATGATATATATTTCTTTGATTGGATGTTAATAGAGTAACAATTTGCATATTATTAATACATTTGAGATTTGAGGTTAAAAAGGTATTTTAATTAATTTTTAAAAAAAGATTTAAGGTCAAAAAGGTAGAAGCATGTATTTTTATCGAATTTTTAGAAGAAATTAAATGCTTAAGTAATTTGGTTCCCAAGTTCTTGTGCTCAGTCTAGAATATTTAAATGATGTTGTGTTTGAAGTGCAAGTTAAAAAGTAGCATTTGATTACAGAAAGGTATTATACTAATCCAGCACCGCGGAGAGTTCCTTGGCAGCATTCAGCAAAATGCTTTTCTTGATTGCTGTTCTCAAAACTTCTGATGACTTAATCAAACTATCAAAACTTAAAATAATTTCCAAATACACATTACATAAGTCTGGAAGGTTGTTCTCACCAGAATTCTTTTAAATCCCTTACCAGTAGAATTGAAAACAATTTGAAAATCTAGCACAACACAGTGTGGAGCTGGAGGAACACAGCAGGCCAGGCAGCATCAGAGGAGCAGGAAAGTTGACGTTTTGGTTCGGGATCCTCTTTCTGGATCCTCCAGATCCACACTGTATTGCCTCTGACTCCAGCATCTGCAGTTCTTGCTATCTCTGGAAAATCTAGCAAATGTTATGAGTGAACACTATCAACCTTGTGTAAGTTCTACTCCCACTCCAGTTTTGATAGTAGGTTATGATCTGAAATATCAACTTTGTTTCTCTCTCCACATTTGCTAGTGTTTACAACATTTCTGTTTTCATTTCCAATTTCCAACATACGTAGTATTTTGATTCTGACTTGTGATTGCGTTTCCTTACTATCATCTTAGCATCTCTTGTAAATTCTCACTTCATGTCACCTGCAAGTTTTTTTTTCCCCTCCAATACCCAGTTCATTTGTATTGGGCTTGGGAAGTAGACAGTCAAATCTCTGCATGATATTTTGGGCTTCTTGGTTATATCATGTGCTTTAAAATGATTGCCCTTAACTTTGGAAGTTGTAGAATAAACATTTAATAAAAAAAGTCTAGGATCGTCCATTCCCTCCTCTCCAAAAAACTCCAATTTGCGATGATAATATTGCTATTACATGCTATTTTACTTCAAATCTGCAGCAAATTCACTGACATTTTACACTCCATAATGTTAAAGTATGCAGTACAAAAATAGTCACATCAATGCTATACACTCAAGAATGAAATTAATCCAGATTTTTAAGGATTTGAAAACATAGATATCGGGGGTTTCTTTAAAGAGACTGTAGGAACTGACAATTCAATAAAGGAAACTTGTATGATCACCATACAGTACCTGTCATTCTCCCCTGCACACTATTTTGTGAATGAACTGAATTAAGCCTTCACTTTGGCTTCTGGATGGTGGAAATGTACAACTGCATTTAACCATATTATGAAATTAGGGCGTTCTAGTGGTAGGTTCTATACTATGTTTGGCTATCTCCATTAATCTACTTTAGTGACATGTAAGCAAAGAGTGGCAAAAGCAAGTAAATTACGTTGCATTTGGTCTTTAAGCATCTGAAAGAGTTAATATTGAGGCGTGTCGTAAGCACCACCCACTGTGACAATGTAGCAAAAATTATGAAGCAAAGTACAGAATGGAAAAAATAAAAATAACGAACACTAGAGAAAAAAGTATTAGGGAAATTAATGGGGCCAAAAGCCAATAAGGCCACTGGACTTGATGGGATGCATCCTAGGATATTAACGGAAGTAGCTACAGAGATAGCAGTAGTCGTAGTAGTCACCAGTAGTAATCTTCCAGCAATCCTTAAGTTCTGGAATAGTCCCAGAGGGCTGGAAAACTGGTATGTAAGACCTTTGTTTAAGATAGGGATAGGCACAAAATAATCAAGTGCCTATAGGCCAGTTAGCTTAACATTTATTATTAGGAATACATTTGGGTCCATTATAAAGGATGTAACAGCAGAGCATTAAGAAATACAAAAAAATGATCAAACAGAGACAGTATGATGACATGAAGGGGAAATTATGCCTGACAAATCTATTAGAAGAATCATTTGAAGAGTTAACAAATAGTACAAGTAAAATGTGAACAATGGGTGTAATACATTTGCATTTCCAGAAGGTGTTTAATAAGGTATTGCATATTAATCTGCCTAATAAGATATAAGCCCATAGTGTTGGGGGTAAAATATTAGCATGGATAGAGGAATAGCTAATGAATAGAAGACAGACCATTGGGATAAGTGGCTAGATTTCCATAACTAATGGAGTGCCATAAGGATCTGTGCTGGGACCACAATTATTTACTATGTTTATTGATTACTTGGATTGAGTCATAGAGATGTACAGCATGGAAACAGACCCATCGGTCCAACTTGTCCATGCTGACCAGATATCCTAAATTAATTAGGACCCATTTACCAGTATTTGGCCCATATCCCTCCAAACCCTTCCTATTCAAGTACCTGTCCAGATGTTGTAATTTTGCCAGCCTCCACCACTTCATCTGGCAGCTCATTCCATATATGCACCATCCTCTGCATGAAAACATTGCCCCTTAGACCGATAAGGAAAGCAAATAAATTATAACCAAGTTTGAGGATAATGCAAAAATAGGTGAGAAGGTGAGTGGTGAGGTTGACACAAAGAATCTAAAGAGGGATATAAACAGGTTAAGTGATTGGAAAAAACTTGGCAGATGGGATACAAGATGGGAAAATGCAAGGTTATTCACTTTGGCCGGAAGAATAGAGGAGCTGAGTATTATTTAAATGGAGAAAGACTGAAGAAAGTTTCAGCAGAGAAGGATTTGCGAAGCTTTATGTATAAATCACAAAAATCTAGCAACCAAATTCAGAAGGTAATAGGGAAATCAAATGGAATGTTGACATTTCTTCCAAAAAAAAAATATAAATATAGGAAAGTCTGGAGCTGGAGGAGCACAGCAGGACAGGCAACATCAGAGGAGCAGAAAAGTTGATGTTTCGAGTTGGGACCCTTTTCTGAAGAAGGGTCCCGACCCAAAACGTCAACTTTCCTGCTCCTCTGATGCTGCCTGACCTGCTGTGTTCTTCCAGCTCCACACTGTGTTATCGCTGACTCCAGCATCGGGAGT